AAGGTAGGTTCATAAAAATACAGTTCTAACAACTTCTAAAACAGAGAAAACAGAAATTGATACTATCCATAAACATACAACAAGTAAATAATATATATGGTATAAAAACATGTCTAATATTTGGAACTCTCAATAAAAATTTTCCAAGCAAAGGACATTCCAGACTATAAGAAGAAACTTGTTTCTATGGGAGTTTGTTCAACTTTCCACAGCTCTTGACAGTTCTTAACACTAGCTAAACTGACTTTTCATTTTCACTGAATCACAGAAAAAGATCTTATTCACATTTAACACAAGTATCTTGCAAATATGAGACAGTTAATACAATGTTCACCCTCTCTTCTCCATGTAAAGCACCACTAATTTCTTCAATTATTTCCACATGGCATAGATTAGAAACTCTCATAATCAGGGATGTTCTCTCAATGCATTATACTTTGCTTGCTTGATTTAGTCTCCCATAATGATCTAGGTAGGATGCAACCATCAAAGAAAAAAATACTTTAATTACAGATGCTGAAATACTTTCTATTAAGATTAAAATCGTGACCACAAATCATAACTTGCCTTTGCACGGTAATTAAGGTTAAATGAAGTCACACAGATAGGATCCTAATCCAAAATAACTAGTTTCTCTGTAAGCAGAGACTCTGAAGAATGCCACCCTCTTCTTCAACACAGAGAAAAGACCAAACAGAGAACACAGTGAAAAAAATGCCATCTATAGGCCAGGAAGAGAGGCACTACCAAGAATTACTCTTGACAGTGCTCTGGTATTGGGCTCATCCAGACAAAAAAAATTAAAATTCATTTGTTTTTAAACCATAGTCTATAGCATTATAGACTGCTAACTCAGCCTGCTAACACATTATTATGGCTGACCAGAATAAAAACAGACAGAACACTATGCTTTTATAACCTGTATCACTAATTCTTTCGTGTCATTTTAAAAAAGGTGAATTATCAAATGTTACTTAGTGAACCCATGAGGGCTTCTGGTAATCAATGATTCCCTTTCAGGATTCCTCAAACTTCTGATTCTATTAATGAAAAGTTTAATATGTTTATAAAATAAAGTTGAGGGCCGGTGAGATAGCTCAGCAGACTAAAGCACCTTCTTAGGCAAGCTTAGGCAAGCACAGGGACCATGGTTTGAGCCAGCCAGAGTTCAGGTGTAGTGGCTGGCATAAGCCTGTAATCTCAGCACTGGGGAGGCTGAAAACAGTAGGATCACTATGAATCCAAGCTGGGTAGTGAGAGACCTTGTAACAACCAGATGCATTTAAAAAGAGGTGGGGGGGGGGGCTGCCCCTTAGCTCAGTTCTTTAAGTGGATGCTGCAACAAAGCAGTCAGGCTCAGGTTGCTGTGGTTCGATCCCCACAACTCAAGCCAGCCAAACCTGCCCTGAAGGCATTCGGAGAAAAAAAAAAAAAGTTAAAAAAATGGGAGACTGATAATCAGAAACTAAATCAATGAAATGCTGAAAGATTAAGTCCATTAAGAGGCAAAGAACTGTGGATTTTAAAAAAATAACTTGAATTGCTATCAACAATTTCCTCCATAAATAAAAACATAAATAATAATGACTAAAGTAAAAAAAGGAAAAGAAGAATTGACAAGGTATTATAAAAGGTAAGCAAAGAGAATACAATAACATCAGACAAAGCAGGTGTCTAGGCAGAGCATATATGCACCAAAAAAGTGAAAAGCATTAGTTACATGATTGTTAGAGCTACAGTGATACAGTTGAATAGATTCATGTAAAAGATAAACAGATGAGCAACAAGGCTCAACAGATTGACAAAGACCAAATATGAATCCATTTTTTCCTAAGGCATTTATACACTTCATCCTATGGGAAGCCACAGTTTTATTAAATTTAAAAAAAAATTTAAAAAGCTCTTTCTGTCAGCCAGCTAAGATGCCAAAAGGGTAGAAGGCCAAGGACAAGATGGTGGCCCCAGCCCCTGCTGTTGTGAAGAAGCAGGAGGCCAAGAAGGTGGTAAATCCCGTTTGAGAAGAGGCCAAAGAGTTTTGGCACTGGATAGGACACCCAGTCCAAGAGAGACCTCACCCGCTTTGTCAAATGGCACTGTCTGGATGCAGCGACAGAGGTCATCCAGTACAAGCAGCTGAAGGTACTCCCTGTAATTCACCAGTTCACCCAGGCTTTGGACAGCCAAACTGCTACCCAGCTGCTTAAGCTCACTCACAAGTACAGAGACCAAGGAAGAAAAGACACAGAGGCTGTTGGCCAGGGCAGAGAAAAAAGCTGCTGGCAAAGGGCATGTCCCCACTAAGAGGCCAACGGTCCTCAGAGAAGGTGTCAACACTGTCACCACTCTGGTAGAGGATAAGAAGGCTCAGCTGGTGGTGATTGCACATGACGTGGACCCCCTTCAAGCTGGTCATGTTCCTGCCTATCCTGTGTTGCAAGACGGGGGTCTCTTACTGCATCAAGGGGAAGGCCAAGCTGGGGTGTCTGGTCCACAGGAAGACCTGTACCACTGTCGCCTTCACGCAAGTCAACTCGGAAGACAAAGGCACGCTGGCTAAGCTGGTGGAGGCCATCAGGACCAACTACAATGACAGATATGATGAGATCTGCTGTCACTGGGGAAGCAACGTTCTGGGTCCAAAATCTGTGGCTCGTATTGTCAAGTTGGAGAAAGCAAAGGCTAGAGAGCTTGCCACTAAACTGGCTAAGTGTACTCTTGAGTTTTCTGTACCTAAAACAGTAAATTGTCCTTCATCCAGTGTTAAAAACAAACAAAAAAAGATTAAACTATATTTTAGCTCATTCTGGTACCATTTTCAAAAGTTTCACTTATTTACATTATATGTTGTATTAAAATACAGAAAACATTATTTACAATCTTCTGTCACCAAATCGTTAGTTTGCATTTTTGGAAAACATTTATTATACCTTAACTACTATTCAAATAGTCAATAACTTAGATTAGTGGTATTGAACCTATGGCACAAAGGCAGCAGCAGGCTGCTGATATCACTGAAAGGTCTAAAAAGTCTGCCATCACTACCTACATCAACAAATTGAACATTCCTCTGATTTAAAAAGGTACATACTGTGACAATTGACCTATCAAGTTGAGCCCTTGGGAACTGCCTAAGGAATCAGTAAGGCACACTTCTAGGTGGCTCTGGGTGGATTCCAAAGGTATGATGTTGGGGTCTACATCCAGTTCCCTTTCTTTCTAGCACTGTTTCTTTGCTCTGCATCCTTGCTGCCATGAGCTAAAATTACCTGAAAATGTAAGTCAAACTAAACCTCTTCTCTTTTAGTTGTAGATGTCAGGAACGGTATCCCAGCAACACCAACCAGAAAGCTAACTAATACACATATTTCATTATGGAAAATGGTAAAAAATAAAAAACACAACAATAAACAAAGCTCACCTGCAAGACATGAAGTACTATTCTATTTTTTGGAACAAATAAGATTAGACTCAT